GTTGAATAAATATAAATTTTATGACCATTTTGGATGTACAGATGTAACAGACATACCACTGATGAATATATCTGTCACCTGTCAACATTTGTAATAATCTACTATCTTAACAGAAAGCAAGTTTTTATTGGAATCATACATCATGAACAAAACTGTTCACTTCCATTATGCCAGACTATCTAACACCAGACAATTTTACTCATCAATGGGGAAGCTCTGCAGCTCAATGGTTTACCAAAAAATCTGATCATGTCTCTAGGTTAACCCATTGAGCCACAATATGCCCTACTTAGACTAAGAAATATATATTTCTGAATAGCAATAAAATATTCTATAGTTTTGTGTGCAAGTTCACACATTTGCATCCATCAAGAATAGAAAATCAACTACAAAATTGGTAGTGTGAACCAAGCTTTAGAACATGTACAGTTTGTCATCTAATCTGTAATGTGAGATGTTTTTGTTGTGTTTAAATATACATTTATACAATTTAATCCTGAAAAGCTTCAAACAACATTTCATATATGTCTTTGCAAAGGTTTTATACATCATAAAGCTAAGTCATTAGCTTTGATGGCCTAACCTTTGCCGAGATGTTCGAAATGTAGTTGCCATGGAAATGTTGGAGCTGAAGTTATGAATGCTCAAAAGAGTTAAGGGTTATGTGTCCATGACTCTCACTTTTTGAATTCTGAAAATATGCACAAATTGTGTATTTGACCTCTCTTAAATTATGCTTCAGCAGCCAAATAGAACCATTAAGAAAGAGACGTAAGCATGTCTATTGTGCTTTTCAGGCTTAAAGGTAGAGGTTTCGCAGTTGTGAATTTTCACAACTGCAAAAAAGTGTGCTCAACCGCACAATTTCTTGGATATGTGGAACAACTAGATTTACTATAGAAGACATTTTCATCACAAACATTTTGTCACCATATGTCTACATTGACAAAAAATTTCCATATTACAAAATATTCCCATTTTGCATTACAATTAAAGTTAATGTTTGTAGAAGTTGTTCAAATCATGGAAGTTGTTTCATCTGTGATCTTTCAAACTGAAAAATATCAAAAAAGGAAATATATCAGTGATATACTGGTATAAAGTGCATGCAAGAACAGTAATGAGTATCACTAATATTAAACTAAAATGGATATTAAATAATTTGAAAAAACTTAAACAAAGTGTACTGATCAACTTAAGTCTCTTTCAGCCAGCCAATTACATATTTCCAACAATACATATGATTATTGTATTTCTTGAAATTGTGTTGTGCTTGGATAAGTTGGATTTAATATGCAAATTACCAACCAGAAACGGTATGACATAACATGATGTCTTTCAAAATTAAGTAAAGCAATACAAAATTTTCATGTAAGAATATATTTTGTAGCAATACGAACAAAAATATAAAAATAACTCAAATCTAACTATGAATAGTATATCGGTCACGAAAAACACCGCACTAAATTGTTAAATTACAGCTTCAAAACTTTAAATATTCTTTGTAAATAAGACTAGATAAGACCACATACCTTCTTTTTAAACAAATCATTCATTTTTTGATAATTTAGAAGGAAATCGTCGCTGAAAATCCACTTTTTGCAGTTAACTCCCTAATAACTCTATATAAAATCCTCCATTTTTACTTGCTGGGAAGATGGCGGCCGAGATGCGCGAGGCGGCATGTACTAAAAGGCGAAACGTCGAAACGAAACGACCGAAACGAAACGGCCGAAACCACCGAAACGACCGAAACGAAACGACCGAAACGAAACAACCGAAACGAAACGAAACGACTGAAACGAAACGAAACGGCCGAAACGAAACGGCCGAAAATATAAAACACAGGAAAATTGAAAAATGCGGATACGGACGGACGGACGGACGGAGGGGACAGGCGGATGTACGGGGGAGACAGGCGGATGGACGGGGGAAGAGGCGGATGGACGGGTGGGGGACAGGTGGATGGACGGGGGAAGAGGCGGATGGACGGGGGGGACAGGCGGGTCGACGGGGGGGGGACGGCTTCATTTGACACGAAACTGATATTTAAAATCAAATCCGCGTTTTGTTGAAAGGGATATATTAGGATATATTATAAAAGACTATTATTAATCGTAATAAATTGTCCGCGAAAAGTTGATAAAATACATGTGGAAATCGGGGTTTTTCGAACCTTCGTTACGCTTGATTCGGATAAAACGCGGATATGCTGCAACTTTCATGCTTAATTTTCTCAGTCATCTGGGTATGAAGTAATCTAATTTTATGCAATGTAATGTGTTATATTTTCAAGGGCTTTTCAATGCAGTTATCGGTTTAAATATACCTAAAGTTCCCGTTAAGATATGACAATTGCCGCACGGCCTACTTTTACGCAAACGAAAATTTAATTCAGCTACAATTGACCATTTGTGTAATAGACTAAATTTTGATCTAAACAAGTCTAGACAAAAATTTCATCACAGCTTGAAAGAGCATCACAAAATTAGTAATATTCCAAAGTCTCGCTGCGACATGTTGTAAAATGTGGAAAATATAGCCTTGCGAAGTTTGCAATTTTCAGTCATTTTAGATTACAAACGGGAAATTGACAGCCTCAAAGGGTTTGGGGCTGTCAATTTCCTATTTGTAATCTAAAATGACTGAAAATTGCAAATTTCGCAAGGCTATATTTTCCGCATTTTACAACATTTCGCAACGAAACTTTGGAATATTACTAATGGTCAATTTGCAAAAATTTCATGCTTAATTTTCTCTGTTATCTGGGTATGTAGTAATCTAATTTTATGCAATGTAATGTGCTGTTTTTTCAAGGACTTTTCAATGCAGTTATCGGTTTAAATATAACTCAAATTCCCGCTAAGATATGACAATTGCCGTACGGCCTACTTTTACGCGAACGCAAATTACAACTGCAAATTTCATGTTTAATTTTCTCTGTTATATTATCTGGGCATGTAGTAATGTAATTTTATGCCAATGTGAGGTGCTATTTTTCAAGGGCTTTTCAATGCTGTTATCGGTTTAAATATAACTCAAATTCCCGTTAAGATATGACAATTGCCGTACGGGCTACTTCTACGTAGACGCAAATTACAACTGCAAATTTCATCAGCACATTACATTGGCATAAAATTACATTACTACATGCCCGGATAACAGAGAAAATTAAGCATGAAAGTGGCAATTGTAGCTAATTTTCGTTTGCGTAAAAGTAGGCCGTACGGCAATTGTCATATCTTAACGGGAACTTTAGGTATATTTAAACCGATAACTGCATTGAAAAGCCCTTGAAAATATAACACATTACATTGCATAAAATTAGATTACTTCATACCCAGATGACTGAGAAAATTAAGCATGAAAGTTGCAGCATATCCGCGTTTTATCCGATCAAGCGTTACGAAGGTTCGAAAAACCCCGCATTTCCACATGCATTTTATCAACTTTTCGCGGACAATTTATTAAGATTAATAATAGTCTTTTATAATATATCCTAATATATCCCTTTCAACAAAACGCGGATTTGATTTTAAAATTGAGTTTCGTGTCAAATGAAGCCGTCCCCCACCCCCCGTCCATCCGCCTGCCCCCCCGTCCATCAGCCTCTTCCCCCGTCCATCCACCTGTCCCTACCGTCCATCCGCCTCTTCCCCGTCCATCCGCCTGTCTCCCCCGTCCATCCGCCTGTCCCCTCCGTCCGTCCGTCCGTATCCGCATTTTTCAATTTTCCTGTAATTTACATTTTCGGCCGTTTCGCTTCGGTCGTTTCGTTTCGGTTGTTTCGTTTCGTTCGTTTCGTTTCGGTTGTTTCGTTTCGGTCGTTTCGTTTCGGTCGTTTCGGTGGTTTCGATGGTTTCGGCCGTTTCGTTTCGGTCGTTTCGTTTCGACGTTTCGCCTTTTAGTACATGCCCGGGCAGACGCCATATTGAAATTCGATACACTTGAAAAAGTTGGGTGAACTCACTGAGCTATACTATATTACTGGAGGACCTGCTCGGGATGGCTATTAGTAAAACACGGAGCACGGAGCACACGGAGCACGGAGTACGGAGCACACGGAGCACGAAGCACACGGAGCACGGAGCACACGGAGCACGGAGCACACGAACTACGGAGCAGTAGAAAAACGAAAATCCTTTATAATAAAATACACTGTTTACTA